GTGAGTGATCTCTCCCTCTCCTTACTTTGATCAATGAGCCTTTCTTTGTGTTTTCTCTACTGTATCTAGTTAGGAGGGTGTGCTGAACTGTCAATAGAGTTTAGCTGGGCTATTTTTTTTTTTAAAGAAGTTCTAGGAAATGTCTTTGTGAAAGCCCCTCCCTTGCAGTGGCTTCCCATGGTTCAACTCCAGTGATAATATCCACTGAATTCAGGATTCCAGGGGCTATGCAGGTCATTTCAGTTACACAGATTTGATGGTCATGTTTAGTTTACTGGCAATATCAGATTCATAATTTTCCAGTACAATACATTCTTAAAGTTTGCCTCATGTTCTTAATTCCTTAATGTACAACTTTTCATTTTACTCTTTTAAGACTATGTGTTTGCTTGTGCTAAATTGTGAAATTCAGTGTAAAGGAACTGCCACACCATCACCTCTACTGAAAGTGTCACAACTACAAGACATTAGCATTAATTTTGTATTTTCTTTCAAATTCTTAATATTAAACATCAACAAGTTGATAAATTCTTGACAAGTGTTGCTAGAAATGTCTATGTGCCTCAGATGATATATAACTAGAGGAGAGGTTTTATTTTTCTCAGCAAATTTTAGATGTGGTTAGATGTTTACAGAGGAATGGAATGACCCGGCAAAGGAAACAGTACAAAGTTTTCCAAGAAGAGAACACTGCCATTAGGGAAATAATTCTATAAAATGAGACCTCAGCCTTCATCCAGTAAATGTATCTGGCCCAGGTGCACCAAGATGAACGATGTCATACACAAAGGGTTCTTGAGTACTGCACAGTAAAAATGATAAAGTGCACATAATTTCAAATTCATGTTGTAGCATTTACTTTTGGTTTAAAAGGTTTTCATTAGGTAAAAAACTGATTGTATTTTGGTTTCATGCTCAACCAGATATTTTTACTGTATGAAATAGCTTTTGATCAATGTTAAAGCAAGTATACACACAAACATGCACATACTTGTCCGCTTTCTTCTTCCAAAAGTGAGCCACACACAGGCTTTCATAAAAGAGTTTTGGACTTCACACAGCTGAAGGGCTCATAGTTTTTTCTCAGATTCAAATATATGAATCTAGCTCTATTTGTCTGTCTCTTAAATTGTACATAAATTACAGAGATTTAAACTACACTTGATTAAGAAATATCAATATATTCCATAAATTTCAATAGACTTCTTAACAGCCTGAACAGAGAACCATGCCTCCTCCATGTAAGTACTTGAAAATCAGAGTAATTGTTATATCAGTTAAATTTTCAACACCTAGTAACATCTAGCCATCATACTCTATTCAGTTTTATGTTTACACTGTTTTTTCTGGAAGTTTTCCTGAAGATGTTGCCTGTTTTTAATTATTATGTAAACATTTTAAAGGAAAGCAGCTTGCATCTCATATGACAGAGCCAAGAAGAAACGGTACAGACCTATTGGAACTATCCCTTGAAAATTCATGCAAAGTACAATAGATCTCACAACAAATGCACACTACTTTACATGCACTATACATTGAAACAAACACAAATTTTTAATTTTTTGGTCTTTGACATTTGCCCATGTACTGAAAACAACACTAACACAAGCTCTGTCAGATACAAGCTGTTCTTTTCTCTGCTGTCTTCGTTTCTCAAAATACCACAAATATCATTAGGTTCAATGTGTCACATCACACTGTGAAGCAACCATGAAGATAACATAATAAAATAATGTATTCACAGAATTATTTTACAAAGAGATCCCTCTCCTTCCCTACAATGTGGGATTTAAAGCAAAATTTATTTCACTGCAACGTTAAATATATAAAGCTTAATGTTTATCTCTTGGAGATAGTGACATAATTTTTTGAAAATGGAGATCTTATCAATTATGAAAATAATAAAGTTCAGGTTTGAAGGAAAAGATGCATGCACACAAAGTAAAAGGCAATACAAAGCTCAAAGGACCATAACTTAAAAATTGTCAACTATAAAATATAAGTTTGCTCCTTATACAGTCATAATGTTTTTCACATATATTTTCAGCCAGTTTGAGCATATCTTTGTAATCTGTTACAGCATGAAATTTTGTCACCAACCATAGCCATACAAAAATTTTGAAGAAATTCTACATTTTTTGATACAAGAATTTCAGGCAATTATGAATGATTATATTACTACATATATTTAGTACATACTTGTGTCAGAACACTGTAGCTTAATTACTCAGAAGCAGCAATTAAGTGTCAGCTTCACTTACAACTAATAAGATTCCTCTCTTCAAAATTAGTTAAGTGGGCAACACAATTACCTGTGTAATTAGTAAGTAGTGTGGCTGAGCATAAAGTTACACACGTTCCTTCATTTTTCTGCATATTTGCACATATTCAACAGTATGTTGGCCAAGTGCCATTTAATTGGGGTTTTTTTGGCTATGGATCCTAAATCTGATTTTTATATAGCTGTGCACAGTGTGCATCTGGCTCCACACATATCTTGGAATTGCATTTCAGTTTTTATTGGAGAAAGAAGAGCACTGCTGTAATCTTTTGTATTATACCTCAAACACACTACTCACAATCAGGCAGGGCAAACATGGCACTAAGAACCCTAATGGAATAATTTCTTTACCTCTTTTAATGAGATTTCTATATATTTTTAAGGCAAAAGTGGTGCAAATCAGAAAATGTAATATATAAAATGCAAACTTTGTTAGAAACCTGCTGCAGTGCCTTAGTTTGAGAGGAATCTGAGTAAACCTGTTACTTGTTTTGTACAGCACAACATTTTCAAATTCACACAACAGGATGGAATTCAACAGGATTATTTCCTCTTGCTTTTACTTCATGTACACTGAAATCAACCTTTCTGGTTAGAAAAAGATATAACAAACCATACTAAGCCAGTCAGTGATGTGAAACTTTTGCCTTTCTTTCCACCAGAAACCACAGTCCCTGCCAACAAGCTTCCTAGAACCTGGAAGCAAATACTCAGTTGTAGGGGATCTTAGCACCCATTCCCTGATTTTCTACCCAAATCAGCCATTTCTGTGGCAGGACGCCTTGCTGCTCAAGGGTTGGACACAGTTCACAGCACACATTATCACTGCTGCTATATCCGTAACCTTCATGTCACAGCTGAGTATGACAAAGTCACACTAGAGACACAGACCAACAAAGGCATCTTCCAGGAGGAAACTGAGCCTTAGAGTGTCAGCTGCCTCTTAAGGTTTGCCTGAAAAGTCAGGTGGAAGTTTTACTGATATTCACCAGGAACAAGGTGGGACCTGTCTAACTAGTTGTTACAGAAGTCCCTACCCTCCCACTCCCCCATCCTAAAAGTTTCAGACAGATGTAGTTGCATTACTATCAAGCACTGAGGTTTAAAATTATGTACAATTAAGGAAAAAAATTATTCTCCAGATAAAACAACAAAGTCATCTTGTTATTATAATTTTTTATACAATTATATGTTTATGTTCCAATTTTTATTCAAAATCATATAATAGAAACTTTTAAAAATTAAAAATACAATTTTCAAAATCGTGGAATCTCCTAAAATGTTGTAAGCTGAAGTTTGATAATGTTTTAGTAATTTGAGTGTTTAGGTGGTGAGTATCTCAAAACTCAAGGGAACTTCTTTCTAGGCTGTTTCCAAACCTCAGTCCCAGCCCAGGAAATGGTTTCCTGCATAGATAAACCCTTCTTTTCCAATTGAGAGGTTTTAAAATATGTATTTGTATATACTTATATTTTTTGTTCCCAGAAATATCATCAAATAGTCTGTTCACATGAAAGAATGGACACAAACACCATGCATGCAATAGCATGTTTTTGATATCATTTTACTGATTCCAAGCAGACAGTACTGACACATAAATATAGCTATTTTTACGTGAGCTAACTCTCCATATTTGACGTTCCACCACTCTGAATGATTATTTTTCTTAAACAAGTCTGTGGAGACAAATTAATCTGAAAGAGCATCTGGCCAACACCACTCAGTGTCTTTAAAGACCAGGAGAAGTTTTCAGGACTCTCAGCAATTTTACACACAATACTGAACCTGGGGGAATGGTGGGTATTCTGGAGAGCAGATATACCCTTCAAAGGGCCCTTGGGAAGCTGGAAACATGGAAGAAACAGCTATCAAGTGCATGAAGATCAAGAAAGCCAAAAGCCAAGTCCTGACACTTGTACTGGGACTCAATGCAAATCTGCAGAAAAGGACTTGAGGGCATGTAAAGCAGAAATTAAATATAAGTCAAGAATGTACCCTTGCAGCCATAAATTATGATAATATTGGGCTGTATTAGCAAGAAACAGCCAAAGGATCAAGAGAACAATTACCCTGCTCAGTAATCATCTGAGAACACCCTCCTCAGTTTTGAACACCTCAGGTCATGAGAGGGATGGATATGCTGGAGGAAGGGCAGTGGAATGCCAGTGACCCAGCCAGGGACCTGCGGAGAGGCTGAGAAGCACATGGTTCCAGAAGGGAAGGCTGAGGGAAAATTCAATGGCCATCTTAAAATTATACATTAGTCAGTTAGAGAAGAGATTTCAGTACACAGTGAAAGGAAGAAAGCAATGGTCACAAGATACATCAAGGGAAATCCCACCTGTGGATATGGAAAAATATTTTAGTGAGGGTGATTGGCACAGGTTGCTCCAAATATATTGTTGAATTGCCATCCTTAGAAATGTTCAGATTTTGCCTAGTCAGGGAAGTGATACAACTCTGAGCATATCCCTGCCTTGAGAGGATGTCCAGAGGTTCCTTTAATTTGATTTGCTCTATGAGTCTATGGGTCATTAATAAAAAAAGTAAAATCATGTCTTACTCCAGCTAAATGAATGTTTTTAAAGGAGTACTTTTCCATGATTTCTTTAGTGGTTTACCACCTAAAGACATTATAAATAAAGTTATAAAACTGTGGAAACTACTAGTTTTATCTAAGAATTTGCAGAATTGTACCATTTACCTTATGTACTTTGCATTAATTTAAATGCAACATTCTTTGTATTTCCTGTTTAAAACTACATGATATCAAGCTCTTTAAGGGAATGCTAACTTTAAGCATCGTCTAGAGCTTCTTTATGAAACATAATAATTTAAAACCTATGTATACATTGCACGTTTAAAACTGTATCTCCATCTCAAAGCCCATGAAATTAGGAAAACACATGTATACATGCACATGCAGCACATGAAGAAAAGCTTCCCTCAGTTAGACACAAATCCTCATTTCTGGTACAATTACACACAGGCCATAAAAAAAAACCCTATATAGTGTACACAAAAGTTCTATGTATACAGCAAGGCAGCCATAATGAAGTGGAAAACCAATCCATCCTTGCTCAGTAAGACATATTAAAACCAGCTAAACAGATAGAAATAGCATTTCCTCTCTAAAACAATTGCCTCAAGGTGTACACAACTTATTCCAACTCCAAATCAGAGCCCAGGTTTACTTTAAAAAGAAAAAAAGGCATTGTTAAAACAATCCAAAGAGAGAATAAAAGCTTTCCTCTTTGAAATCCCAGTAGTTCTGTATTTATTATCTGTAGGATAGGAAATGTATCCATTTTTCACTTTCATGAAGTAAGACGTCAGAAAGTTACCTGACCACATCAGCATCTTCCTCTTGTACCTTTGTATGCTTAGTGAGTAAGAATACAGACATATGATCTCAACTTTTTTTTTTCTAAAATATCTGTAAAAGTCCAAGAGCTTTATTTGACAAAGGTATCTACGATGCAAAGGATCAGCCCAGGTTACTTTCACATGAGTTTCACAAACTTTGGTTACAAATGCGACTTCAGTACATTAAATACCAATTAGCTTTATCAAGATAAACCAGGATAAAGCTCATTGTGCTTTTTTTTTTCCTTGGTGTTTATGTTTTACATAAAGGAAGAGCCAACATACAAGGGTTCTCAACATTCACACGTGGGTACAATTGGTAGAGGGTGGTGTATCTATCCGACTTTTATTTTCCTTAGCATCATTCAGAAGTGACTCATTACCAATCTGGCATTTGAAGACTTGTTTGTAGGCCTTCCTAAAATTTTCAGATAGAAATGCATATATGATTGGATTCACAGAAGAATTGCTGTAAGCCAGGCAGTGTGCAGTTACCCTGAAGAGAAAGGAGGCTTGAGTCAGTGGGAAAACTCCAAATTCAGCCCAGAGATGGATCACATGATGAGGCAGCCAGGAGATGCCAAAAACCACTACCACCACCAACACAGTCTGTGCTGTCTGAGACAAGGAAAGGAAAACACATATGTCTGATGAGAACTCAAAGAATCAGCTTTAAACCTACTTCAAAACTTCTGTTTGGAGGGAAAAAAAACCACAACAAAAAGTATACAGAGAAAGAATACACTGCAATATTTGCTACTGATTTCACCCCATTACTTATATGGGCTTTATTTTGCATAATGAGTTACAGCAAGGAAAACCCCAGCCTTGGAAAATGTCATAGTAAACAGCAAATGCACAACTTTCCTCAAAGTGAAGAATGATGTCCCTAACTCCCTACACAAAAGCTTAGCCTTTTCTGAAGTGCACCTAAGCCTGTTGTAAAATAATAACAACAGGGAACTTTGGGAAATCTCATCCAGATCTAATGAATTTTAGGACCATGCACCAATAATTTCTGATTAAAATTTCAAGAATGTATTCAAGATCTTCAAGATCTATTATGCATGAAGGCAGCTGGTGGAAAAGCTTAGAGCTTGCTTAAGTGCTTACTAAAGTAAGCTTTTTGGAAGTGTCTCCTCTAAACAAAGAATTTCCTCAGAGTCATACAATAACATAAAAAAGTAAGGGCTTGAAATTTCTGATGATTGCACATTATCAAAACCAATCTGGAAGTTAAAGTTCACCACCAAACACTAAATTAAAAAACGGAACATAAAATATCCTCAGTGCTGCTTCCACACTCCACTTCTACTATTTATGAGAGGACCATCAATTTCACCAGATCCATTCTAAGCTCCAGAATCAGTTGGTAGGGACCCTTCAGGTGCTGAGGGTGTTCTGTCAGGGCACAGTGGAATTTGACTGTCAATATTTTATTTAGCTTTCACCTACTTCAGAAACAGCAGTTAGTGCTTTGCAGTGGCCTAAGTAATTAATATCTATTACTCTTCCAAGTACCTCTTTCAACTAAATAAGTCTCCAAATAAAAGTCTAATAATAATTCCAAAGCATATTATGTCATGAGCCATTATAATTTCTATATTAACACTTTATAACATAATTTTTCTGATAACTTCTTCACATCCAAAACTAACTCAGGGGTCACAGAGTGATAAATATTGCAGCATAAAAAAATATGTAGATTTTTTGCTAGTTTATTGAACTTGGTCTGTACTTCTTGAACTGATTAATGCCCAGTAATAATTAAGATTGACTTATGTAATCAGAACATGAGTTAGCTTAGAAAAACTTAGGGGAAAAATTTTTGATTTCTGTGGCAACAGGCCAAAATAACTTATGACAGATGCTGTTGTTGGTCAGTATAATCTCACAATAGAAACTAAAGAATATTAAATCTGCAGTTAATATAATATGTTTAGTCTAAAGCAAGCATCTGTTTTCATAAGCCATTCCTCTACTTGGCCCTATGGAGTTTAAATCCGTTGCCACTTAAACAGCCACAGAGATATTTATTTTTTCAGGTCTTATGAGAGGATTGTGTTCTAACAAGACTGCATAAACTAAGAGCAGTTTATTCTCTGATTGATGTGTTCAGTGGGTTAATATTCCATGTAAAAGCAAGTTTTCAGGATACCACACACACAATTACTTCAAAAGAGGCATTTTACTTCAGTTTGTTCAAAATTCTGAAAAAAATCAACCAGGGAAATCACTGACATTCAATAGGCTATTGATGCACCTGAAAGCAGAAGGTGACAATGTGTCTCTTATAACTTTCATTTAAGGTGTTTCATGTCTGCAGAAGAAGCAATTTTGCATTATGAAATCTCACAACATCTGCTTTATCCCATTGTTCCTCCTAAGCCTAACTTCAGAGCTTACTTTTCCAAAATCACCACTTTGACTTGCAAGCAAGGTATCACTAGAGAGCAGCTCTTTTTTACCTACTGGGAGCTTGCTTAGGGTTTCTTATTAGCACATAAAACCCACCTGAAACATATGACATTAATATTGATGCTTTGTGACCAAAAAGCATGAAAAATAGAACTTAGGCAAATTAATATTTTTCATTCTCTTTTTTCCACACAGGCAGCAAATTCATTTTAAGATTCTGCTACTAGAATGTTCATAAATGTTTGAATAAAGCTAAAAATGTATTATTACACCTGAAATGCATTCTTCACAAGATAGTAGAAGGAAAAGAAGAAAGACATGGTAACCAGATGGAACACTAACACACTAATGAAGACAAAGTCATTTTGAAAAGCATGAGTTAGACCTTAGGTTTAGAAACTCATCTTCTAAGGCAAAAAAAAAAAAAAAAAAATCTGGACTGCTTTTTGCTTACTTTTCCTCTCTGGCTACTGAACCCTGATGCATTCAAGCAGTCTTGATCATATCTGCAATGCTTTATCCTGAAGCTATGAAAGTTAATTCCTAGTCAGATCTGCAATTTTTGAGAGTTAGTGGTTAGAGGAAATGCAGAGATATTTCCAGTTTGAGAAGAATTTAGATGAGAGATGGCAATGTACAAAAGTCTTTGAAAGCTATACCTTTGGCCTTGACAACATTAAATGCAAAATTATACATGTTAAATATTTTAGTGAGTCAGAGCAGCAATGCTTTTAATTCTAGGAATCAAAATGTGTTGAGTAGGATATTTTTCAGAAGAATAGAGAATGCATAAATGAGAGAGTATTTATTCCCTGTTGAGTCCATGTATATCTCATTTACATTGCAGGCACTCTCCATGCCCATATGAAAACAGTGATCAGATCAAATGAAGTGCTATAGCTCAAGGGGTTTTTCCTCCACATCTATAAAATGAGAAGTTACTCAAATGATCACTGTGGTCAAATCTGCTCAAAAATCACACCCACATTATATTAAGTGACAAATTCTCTGTTTAAATGCATCTTTCAAATATTGTTCTAAATCATAAAGCTTATATTCTTCTTTAAAGATCATTCATGATTCTATTTGTATCCAATATATAACATGTCTTGAATGTGAGAGAAGAAAACATTGTATGGAAAATCAATAGAAGAATTGGAGAATCAAGAGGAGTCTCCTAATAGACTCCTATTGGGAAGCACAATAAATTTCATTTTAAAGGTCCCTCATACAACCTAGGAATTATTCATTAAGACATCACAAAATCAGCTAGTTTAAAAAAAAATTTCTCATGATGCACAAGTCAGGGGAAAATGCCAGTGAGGAAAAAAAAATTTAACACAAAAGACAGGTTGTCTCCCTGTGCCTAAATTTCAGATGCTCTGAAGTTCCAAATATGAGGATCTCAGGTAATGGCAATGTGATGGAAAACCTGGATCAGAAAAGATTCCAGTCTGCTAAGTTCAGAGAGACACTGAACTTTTCATTAAATACTTAATTTTAATTTCTTCTCTCTGTTACATCTTTAGCAATAAGTACCAAATTAGTTTAGCCATAAAACTAAAATACACACAAATGAGTATTAGTAGTGAATGCAACATACCTTTTTCTTCGATGCTTCTGACTTCTTTGACATGTTTTTCAACTTCTTATGCAGATGATTAAGAACCTGAAAAGATTAATTTGCATCTCTTTATCATATTTCCCCGATTTCTATTCAAACAAAATTCAAACCTGGGTATCTTAGAGTACTCTTGTGCTCTCCACTACTGCATGATTCACTAGCAGATATCACTGAACCAGCTTACACATTTCAAATGTGCACAGTAGGAAAATCAAAATAATTACATATGTGAGTGCATGTGAACCAACAAAAACAAAGCAGACCACAACTGAATTCTTACTAAAATATTCAGATGTATTATATAACAAATACATATCACAAATTAACAAGGAAATGGATGGAAATCTATCTTGTACATAGAATTAGCAATCTTTCCTTTTCCATAAAAAGTCAAAGACTTGGTTTAGAATGACCTTTAGTGTGTGTAACATAAGAAAAGTGTATGTTTTGAGTCAGAGCTTTTCTGAGTCACCTGCATAATTTGCTTCCCTCAGATTGCTTGATTAGTATAATCAAGACGTTGGCACTATTTGATCTTTGAAAGAAGCTTAGGCTTTCAAGAATAATTTATACTAAAATGAGACATGACACACGAGGCATGACACATGAGGCATGACCTTTCACAACAATGTGATGATACTCACCATCCATCTTTCACAAACCAATTTTAAAAATACGTCACAAAAAGGCTCATTGTCCAAGAGCATTTACACATAAGGTTTGGATAGAGGACGCAAAGAGATCTTGGATTGGGGAAAAGGGTCCAAATTCAGATTCTTTCATATCATCGGGTGACATTTTCTCTGTGTTCTTTGGGTTGCACAGCTAACCACTATCAGGACAGACATCAGTCAAGATGATCTAGAGACTTGATCCCATCAGTCAAGATGCTCTAGAGACTTTGGCACTTGAGTTTTATAGACATACATATTGAATTAAAAGAAGTAAGATGGTATTCGTGAATGTCCAGAGCTCATCAGCAAACTTATTTTTTTATGTATCTACTCTTCTATACCAGAGAAACACCAACAACAATAAAAAAAAGAAATCACTTATAACCACTTAATATTGTAAGTGCAGTTCATTTGTGCCTGTCTGTGTACTACTGTGTGACTCACCCTGCATGCACTTCCTATTTGGAAACATTATCCAGACCACTTCTGGGAGCTAGCCCAAACTAAGAAAAAGCAGGAGAAAAATAAATGGTCTTTCCCTGAGAAAGTCCTATTTTGACTTCATTTCTTTCTTCTTCAGTATGAAGCAGACCTAAAGGAAAGGGCAGAACCCCAGCAGAACAGGGAGATGACTGTCTGGCTTACAGACTTTTTATTCACCTCCCATCACCCTGTAGAGACCAGATGAATTGCTGAGTCCATCAGTAAAAAACATAAAACTTAAAAAAAAGGGCATGGGAGGAATGCAATTAAGTTCATGTCCCATCACTGCTGCTTCATCTATCATACCCCCTTCACATAACTTACAGCAATGGGCTGTTTCTACCTTTGTAAATCCCATCACGTGCCACCCAGTGACTGCACTGCTCTGTAGCTCTCCCTTGCAGCCCAAAACTAAAGTCAGATAAGCTCTTCACAGAGATCAGAACTCCAAAATAGGTTTTACAGTTACAAACACTTTTTTCTTCTGTTCTGAAACATTTATCCCAAAGTTTTGCATTGTATCCCTCTCCAGTTCAAAGAAAGATGCAGGAGACAAAACAGGTAAATTGGATATTTGAGGGGGGTTGGGAGGTGGTGGAGGAGGGTTTTGTTGTCAACTTAGATTATAGCCTTCAAATGAACTTTATCAGCTTCCCCTCTTTTGGATTACATACACATTTCATAAAATAAGTATTTGCAGTGAAAACATATTGGCATAGTATTGTACCAGATGGCATGAAAAGTAACAGCAAGAGAAACAGGCAAAATGCAACTACTTATCAACAGCAGTGGGACAGCTCTCAAAGACCTACAGAGACTGCCATGGAGTGTTAAAAAAGAGCCATGTTTATGCACAAACTCTGCATGGCAAATCTAAGACACTCTCCCCATACCCTGTTCAAATTTCCTCTTCTCTGGGCCAATGAATAACCAACGAGGAACCAATCTAACAGCCTGAGTAAACAATAATTCTACCGTGTGCCCCTCACTATTTTCAACTCCAGCTTTCATGTACCTGCTGTTCAGAGATCAGCTTCCCTCTTTTCTGGGGGTGAGATTGGGGTGGTGTGGTAAGAAAATTATGTTGCTGTATAAGAGACTGTAAGGAGACTTGTAGGATCTAGTGTGGTACAGACTATGACCAAGAGTACCACTCATGACATCTGGTAGGCCCTTGGTTTTGCCTTCCTCCCTCCCTCCCTCCTTCCTTCCTCTCTCTCTCTCTCTTTTTCTCTTTCTCTCTCTTTTTTTCTCTTTTTAAAGTAATTTTTAAATTATTCTTTTCCCCCATTTATTTCAGAAACTACATTCAAGATAGCTTGAGAGCCCTGACTGAGGACTTTGACCAAATAAAGTTGTGAAAGAGATTTTTGCAATACAGGAGTGAAGAAAATAACTTCAACTACCTGTGCCTCTTCACATAAGTCTACCAAACTTTATGAAAGTTTGAAGTCGACAGTGTTAAAAACCATGTTTGCTGTTTGGCATTTCACTGACCACACCTTCATTATCAGCCAAAATCATGCAGAAGGAAAGCCTGCACAAGGTCACTGTATAGTAAGAATGAACTTCTTGTTTTACAGATAATGTAAGCATTACATTCTGAACAACCTTTGTAGTATGAACCTGATTGAAATTCAAGTGCTATTGCCTGTAATCCATGTTTTAAAGTAATGTCACTACTTCTGTTGTCACAAGAAATCCTTCATCCTCTTTCAATTAAGAGTGTGTGACTAATGTGTCATAGCTTTTATTTTTCTCTTTCAGTGAAGTTTAATAAACTTTTCCCCTTGCTGCTCAGCAAAATTTAGGATATAATATCCAAAGCCAGATAAGCTTGTATTTTATGTTGAGGCTGTTACTTTTTATAGCTTAATTTTAAACAAGTCTGTAAATCATACATGACATGAATTCAGAATGTTCAGAATGATAGATAATAATGGAAACATTCTTAAGGCAAGACATATTTGTTTTAAAGAAAAATTTAATATTATGCATCTAAAAAAGGAAATGTTTGCTAATAACTATATGTGTCTAAATTAAAGGTTTGATTGAAAGAGGCCTGACTTTCAAGGAGTGAATCCTTGAAAAATGGAGGTGCCCAAAATTAGTTGTAACATTGCACAACCCTGGCAGATGTCAACTGTTAGAAGCTGACTGGGAATCATTTATCACTTTACTCTTTAAGGACATACTAGTGAGCAAATGTTGTAGTACTGTTACAAAACACATACAAAAAGCCAGTGTTACAAAAATACAGCAAGTAAAATGATAAGCAATAAGAGTCAGGACACAAGGTGTCTGTAAGTATGCAGTGCTGAGACTCAGCTGATCGCTTCATAATCGCTGCTCCTCCCCCCGATGTAGTAATCTTCTTTCAAGAGTAGTTCTCTGAGGCAACAAAAGCTGGTTTCCTATGGATTTGTGACTTTTTTACGGTGTTCCCAAAAAAGATGTGTCTTCTCTGTAAGTTAATAAGACCTCTTCCCTTATGGCTTGTCTGGTGTTTAATAGTTGAATGCAAACCGACTCCTTAAAAGAGAGAGGATAACGGAGACTCCGCACTTCTTCCTTGTCTGCTGTTTTCACAAAATTAGGGAAGTATCCTTAATTCTGATATTTTCACTCATCTATCAAAAATTTGCATTGAAATGGAACTAATGTTCCTTTTGGAAGAGAGAAAAGAGGTAGCTATACATACAAGACAGAGCATGGTCTCATAAATCTCTGCCTGAAGAGCATGTATCACATGAGATATTTTGGGAGGACACTGCTTTCAAATACCTGGCACTACTTCAGCACCTCTGTACATTGTAACAGCATTGTTATCCATTGGAAAAATGCTCTGCTAATAAATGTAAATGTGAAGTGAGATAGAAAAAGAACTTGGCTCCCTATTAGAGTGCCTAAAAAATGAGACTTTCAAAACTGAAAGTTCAATTGCAATTTGTTTATGAAAGAAACAGAACTGCCTTAAAGGAGTCTGGAAAAGGCAATATATTCAAATAAAGAAATGAGTCTCCTTTGTCTTAATTTACTGCAACAGAAGATTGCGTTATCTCACTGATCCACAGTTCATGAAAACCAGTGAAGTCCATAAAAAACTAATGCAGGGATTAATGTCTCCTGATGTCTACAGGCTGAGAGAGCTGGGGTTGCTCAGCCTGAGAAGGCTCTCCCTGTCCCAAAATACTGCAGTTGGAGGTTTGTCAGTGGCTCCTAAAGAAGGCAGGAGAGACTCTTCAGCTGTAGGGTACAAATACCTTCGATAGTTCTGTACAAGTCATGGCACTTTACAGCCTGTAAACTGGTGGTAATACCAGCTACCTCCTAGCTATCTTCTAAAATTCATCCCTTCAGGTCAGCTCCTCCAGCCTGACACTGTGGCATGCAGTTTCACACACAGAGGATCAAAACACATCACAAAGCCAGAGTGAGAGCCTAGGCTGGCAATAGTTTAAGCACAGGATTTTATTGTCATTTCAAGTGGCCTTGATTTTATTAACTTGTTCTTGGGCATATTTTTCACATAGAGTTGCTTTTGTTGGCTTGGAGAGGTTTTTGCTGCTTTTTTTTAAACTACATATTAATACTAATATTGAGAGATTTACTTCTGTAGAGGTGCTTTGTAATGACAGAGTGTGTTTTATTTACTATACATATATTCTGGTTAAGCATATTGGCTTTTCTTATGCCTACACTGTTACAGGACTATGCTAATTTTGAAAGATTTCTTTTTAATCTTCTCTCATATAATTAGACTTCAAAGACCAGCACTTTATGCTGAAACAGAAGATGCTTTGGCTCTGAAAAAGGGAAGAATCAGTAGCTGAAAACTCCGTGTGCACTCTGTAGTGTTCTCTCTGCAATGTGTAATAGTTTCTTCAAACTGACGATCTGTCACTACAGCTCAGTCATATTCATCACAGTAGATGAAATACCAATATATTCATTCAGGGAAAGCAGGATTCGGTTTATGTATGAAAACTTGTGTTTCTTCTTCATTTGCCAGGCTGGATTTGTTCCACTATGAACAGCCATTTAGAAATGTTGTCCTTTGTGTTCTGCATGCCTTGGTTTCATCAGAGTTGGACAACGTTACAGCCACAATTTGCACATCACAGTTAAGCTGATGTAATATATGTGAAACTGAGCAGAACACAAAATTACTTGTTCAAATTAAATACTTCAGGTACATCTACTGAACTTGCCAGTTGAACTGACTTAAACAGTTTGTATTTGCAAGAGCAGTCCTATCCTCTCCAATGTAAATCACTGCCTAAGGAGATATCCTGCAACTGAAGGCAGTTGGCACAGAAACAGCAAGATATCAGCAGGTGCTCCAGATCCTGTTCAGCAGCACGCAGAGGATTGTAAACTGAAGGCTGCAATTATTACTCCAGAAAAATGTGACAATTTGCTTAAGCAGAGAAGTTCTTAAATATGCATATTCAGGCCACCCTTAACTATTGCTTTTTCCTACCTGGGTTCTCATGCCCTGCTCCCTGGAACCACGTGCCTTTGCCAAAGTCAGAGGCAACTCTCTCATTAACTTCAACTGGGGCAAGACATGGCACCACAGGGACCAGGCAGCATGAAGTACATTTTGCTCTTAACACCAAAAAGATAATTTTTGTCACTTGCAAGTGCACTGGACATTTTAAAGAACCACAATGCTTCATCTGAAGCCTGAACAACTTGTTGCTTTGTTGTACTTTATTGAGTCAAACTCCTCACGCAGCACTGCAAGAAATTAAGAGTTATGGTGATGGAGAAAGCAGCAGAGCACCGGGGCTTCTTAGCATCCTGCAACAGGGAAATCTGACAGGGACACCCCACTAATTGCCAGAACACCCCTCCCCACTCACCCCATGCATTCCCTGTTTTGACCTCTCTGTGATAGTGAACATATGTCACCCCTCAGACACCCCTCAGCTATAAAAACTGCCCTCACCCTTTGTGGCACAAACTCACCCCTCCTCCTTTTTCTCCCAACATTGCCAAGTCTCTCCACATGCCCAGAAACAGCCCTATGGCTCATGGACACATTTTCCACCACTGTGTCCCTCCCATCCTTTTACACTTGCCCCACCTTGGCATAGCAGAAGGAGATGAGCAGCAGCGGGAGCAGATACCCAAAGACAAATGTGCAAATCACGTAGACCTTCTTGTGGCGTGGGTTGGGCCAGAACTCCCAGCAGAAGGTCTGGTTGCTGGTCTCGCGGTGGAAGATGCGCTGGTGGTGAGCCACAGGCGAGGCCATGGCGAAGGAGAGCGCCCAGATGAGCCCCACACCTAACATTGCATTGCGGGGAACACGCAAGGCTGAGGAGCGCCGGGAGTGCACGATGGCCACGTACCGGTCCACAGACATGGCCGAGAGTGTGAAGATGCTCACCAGCATGGAGATGGTGAAGAAGTAGTGGATGAACTTGCAGATGAAGGCTCCCAGCACCCAGGTGGGGAGCACGTAGACTGTGGACTGGAATGGGATGCAGAAGAGCAGGTAGGCCAGGTCGGCGATGCTCAGGTTGAGGATGAAGATGTTGGTGGTGCTTCGGCGCTTGCCTGGCTTGCTCCTCGCCAGCACCGTGATCACCAGGGTGTTGCCCAGCACACCCAGGGTGAAGATTAAACCGAAGACGATCAAGGTGATGAAATTCTCGATGCCGATACCGAAGAGGGGCGTCCCCTCAGCCTCCGGCAGCCCGGACAGGTTGAACTCCCCGCGGGGCGTCTCTGCCGCGGCTCGGGACAGGTTGAGGGGCGCCGCCGCGGGCTCTCCTAGCTCCATCCTTTCCCAGCGCGCCGGGCAAAGTTTCCGCGGGCGGAACGCGGAGCCGCCGCTTCCCGGCACCTCGGACCGCGGTGAGCCCGGGGCAGCCGCCCCACCAGCACCGGGCGGCGGGGAGGGAAGGGCGGAGCTGCCGGCGCGCTGGGCGCAGCCCCCGCCGCCGGGGAGGCGCTCCGGCCGCGCCCGCCCCGCCCGCAGAGCCGCGGAGTCTCCGCGCCTCTGCGCTGCTTCGGGAGACTGAGCTCCCCGGGAGCGTGTCCTCGGAGAAAGGGGAGGTGGGGTTTTCTTGCCCTCTTTATTTCCCCCCGCCTTTTCTTCCCACCCTTCAGCTTGTAGGCGCCCCCCTCCCCGCCCCCAGGGCGGCAGCCGGAACCCCGGTCCTCTCCCCGGAAAACTTCTCTCCCCTCGGTGCCGCCGCTCCCAGGGAGGCTCCGGAGCCGTGTCTCACAGCAGGGCTAGGCGGCGCTCGGCTGGTCTGGCCGGGCATCAATGTACTCGCTTGGACAGACAGAAATGATGAAACGCCCCTGTGAACCCGCCTCAACAGGTAGCCGGCAGCTGGAGTTTCTCCGGACCAAGCGCCGCCTGTGCTCGCTCTTCTCGCCTCCTTCGCAGGTTTCCTCCATTAATCACTGAGTATCTCAAATGACAAAAGGCGGCAGACATTGTCACGCCTTCCCGTTTAAAAAAAAAACAAAACAACAACAACGACAAAAAAAAAAAAAAACCAAACAAAAAAAAAACACCAAAAAAAAAAAAAAACCAAACAAAAAAAAAACACCAAAAAAAAAAAAAAAGAACACACCAAAACAACCAAACACAAAACCACATACGCACAAAGCAGAAGAAATGGACTAGGAAGTCCAGCCGCTTTTCACTGCCAAATCACGGCGTTCGAGAGCAAATCTCCGTTCGAGAGCAGGAGCGCATCCTTGCTGAGGGCCCGCGGGCTCCCCGGAGCCGGGCAGCCGCGGGCAGCGCCACACGGGGCCGAAACGGGAGCTCCTGGAAAGCCAGTCCTTTCAGAACGGGGTTAAACAGGAAACTTCCTCCAGCACACGGATGCGAGTTCATGAGAATATTCTCACCGGCACACACACCTTGTGAACGAAACGGATTTGCCTGAGGTTTTATATCCATTTGTTTCCAAATTACCAGTCAGTGAGCTACCGCTGGCAGCAGCAGTGACCAACAGAACTGCCCAGATGTGCTGTTGGAGGCAGCGAGCTTTTGTTTGCATATTTTTCAGTCTGCTGTTTGACGGGTTTTTTTTTTTCTACCTTTCTTTTTACTACTTATATTGAAGCATCTCAGCAGCTGCACATCAGCTGACTGCAAAGCCATTGACTTCTGCAGATCTAGATTTTAATTAAACTAATGTATGGTCTGCTCCATTACGTCTGAAGGAACACATCATGGGAGAGCACAATTCAGTTTATATAGATCTAAGAAACTTTTATTTGGATTGAGCTGGTTTCTACATCTGTTGTAACTCATTTAAGTATTTATAAATATATCAAGCAAAAATAAACTAGTAAGGATTCCTCAGAGACTTGGGTTTGGAATTTTTTGTAATGTGCATTCTTTACAATTTTGTTGACATGTTTGATTACCATGCAAATCTACTAGTCTCTACTTCTGCAAGGGATGTGAGAAAGAACACTGTTAAACATTTCTAGGATATATCAGATATCACACACTTGTTGGAAAGTCTCTGAATATATTGTGAAAATGTACAAAAGTCTATAGATTTTCCTAGTGTTGCTGATGCCTGTGTTTGCCTATAAATTCCTTCATGTGGTGAAGGAGGTACAAGAAACCTTTTGAATACGACTGATGGTTTGCTTTTGAATCATGTCATGTTGCCAGACACCACTCATTTTCCAGGATGTCTGGAGTGTAGCCCTGGTTTTGATGAAACTAATGCAATCCTTCATCTGACGTGCTGCTGGTCCTCACCACATACACTTCTGTTTTCTCGCAAAATAATATGTTTTGTGCAGAATGGCCTGAAAGGTTAGAACAAAGGAAATTACACTTAACAGAAAAGTAGGCAGGAAAAGTGGGTATAGAAACAAAATCAATTTTAGCAGGAATCAAACTGAAAATCACATTAGTGATTTGGATGGGAGAGTTGACTGTTGGTTTCCTTTGGATATTTAATTGACAGTTCTGTGGTTCAAGCTTTGCTTTTCTGCTACATATCTGTTCTAAAGTTCCTATACAGTTCCTATAAGACTATCCTGAGCATTAGGAGGAAAAACCCTTGCAACTATACAATTATATTGTAGCTTTTCTCAAAGACCTTCAGGCATCAGCTTTTACAAGAGTGAACGAAAGTTCCCACACTGAAAACACCCATGACTGCGGTTAAGATTGTCATAACCAAACAGGTATTGACATGTTAAACCACTGTTCTTATCTAGACTGAGTAAAATTTTCATGCAAAAGAAAGTTGAGATGGAAAAGCTGTTATGAATTCAGTACAAATAAATATATAGCTAAATACAGAAACTAGTTAAAAACCTACAGGACAAAAATGCAGTAAAAATATTGCATTGCACTTTAAGAAAATAAATTTCATGTCTTTGCAAAAGAGATCTCTTAAGCATGTGCCTCACACATTTCCTTGAATCTAGTTTTATTGAATTAATTTTATTATTTTCCTGAACACTATTTGATGGGAAAAGATCTACTTAAGCTAAAATAGCCTAGGAACTTCAGAAAGAGCAAGAAACTGTGTGCAGTGTTCTTCTGTCAGTGACTAGAATCCACAATTCTCTTTATCAGACAACTCACCTCCAAAAATTTGTTTGGCTCCAAAATTTTCCATTGCAATCAATGGAGAAAATAGTAGGCATGTCTAAAAGGGATGGGAACCTACGTACCCTGCTAAGTCTAGGCCTTCATATTTACTCCTCAGTGGGTTAATCCAGAAGATATTACTGTAAAAACATACAAGGATGTCCTTCTTTTTTCTCACTCCAATGGTTGGTTATGTTATCTTTATGTTGTTCCAATAATAAAAATATTTGACTTACACTGGTAAAATTTTATCTCAGGAATGAGGATTCCAATGCATTGATTTAAAATATTAATTACTACTAAGCTCTTTGTTCCTATTTAATGCATGTATATATGTATAATAAACATATTGTCAATATAATGTCAGTAAAATGCATTTATCTTTTTTAAAGGAACATATAATTAGCACATCAGAAACAATAAAAAATAAAGGTTTTATCTACTGTCCCACTTTTGATTACATTGACTATCTAAGGCACAAAAATCAGCATCTAATTATACAAATACATACATAGATGTCTCTATGCATTTTATCATTCCACAAGAATAAAATAATAAGATACACAACTTCTTCAGAGAAGTTTTAGTAAAATCTTGTATAAATACTTTTGGGAGTGTTTTCAGGCTTTTTTCCATAGTGAAGTTGAAGCTGGAGTTGAGGTTCAAGGCTCTCAAATGCACCCCTGTGTCAATAAAGATAAACCATTTAAAGTGTATTTATACTAAAGCATATGAGTAACCCTGACCTTTAGAAATCTTTTGATAGTTCAGTCCTTAGCTGATTGGCCACTCTTCTTTGCTGCAAAAAAGATTTTCCAGATTTGGTCATGTTTTGTTTATAAAACACAAGACTGAAAACAGGTGTATTTTGAAGACTGACTCTTTTAATTTATTTGTGAAACGAGATCAGAGGCAACAGTCACATCAATCATACCCCATTATTTTTCTTTGTGACAAGTTCCTGGAGTAGAAATTCACATTTTAAAGGCAGATGTGAAGTTCAAGTAAAATTCAAAAGCCAAATTAAAAAGTCCATGAATCATAATGAACCTTTGATTCACCTTCTATAAAGTTAGCAGTATGTAAAAGGCAAGTATCTATAAGCATTAACTCCCCTTCTATATATATTCTTGGGAATAATGTAACCCTCAGGTCACAGTTGTCACTACATTCTGATTTCCATAGTGGAGAAGTGTCACCAATAAATTGAAGTTTATTGCTTCTTGCTGACATTTAAAAAGAAGTAAACATCTGCCCATATACATTTGAGAGCCATTGTCATTCCATCCCTGAGTCTGTGCTGATTTTTTTTCCTCTTAGTTCTCTATTCCAGTTCTTAAAAATCAGTTCTAAAAAAGCGCTAAAATGCAGGCAATCAAAAGTAAATTTGAAGCTAAGTCTCCAAAATCCCATTCCACATTTTGTACTTTCAAGTAATATGTTTTAGGCTTAAAAATTGTACATAAAAACATGTATCCATTCTTTATTCAACACCCAGCAATTTTCTCTGTAAAAAATGCCAAAAACTAAACACCATGGTCTAACAACTTGAACTTGTATTATAGTTGTTGAAGACAGTTGCTTGTTTCATTTTCATTGATTTGTGACAATTACCCCATGGGATGCTTTTTAATGTTGGCTGCAGAAGCAACTCACCTGTGCATAAAAACACAGCTGTGTTTTGTCTAAAACAGAATCAAGTATATTTTGATGAACACTTGTAATACAATATAACAACAGATCAGGTCTTATTAAACTCAGGAGAATGCAGCAGGTATCCAGGTCATGGGCACAGCAGCTGCAGAAATCTTTCAAATGGACAATTATTCTACCTTCAAACTGCTTTGTAAAATGTACAGCTGACTGGAGTGAGGTCGTAGGGCTTATGAAAGGCTTAAGTTCTGTAAAATGAGCATCATGTTCTATATAGGAAAAGCAGAAATATGGGCTCAAGAAGCTACCTTAGCCATGATGACATCAAAATAATCAAGGCTGAAAGAGGCAGCAGTAAAAAGAAGTAACTTGGAAAGTGTGATTCCAGCTGAAGCAGTTGTGTGCTGCTGGCAAATCAGCCAGGAGTTTGCAGGTTGCTTTGTCTGGGGTCAGCTCAGGGCACGGGCAGAGGGAGTGAACATCTGATGTAAGGGAAAAGGTCAGGACCTCACTGTCCAGCCCCGGAGACCTTCCTCACTAGGGCATTTCTTTGGGCAAAGGGAGAAAACAGGTGGGTGCTGCATAGTGAATAGA